GAGCAGTGAATCATTTTTCGCATGCAAAATTTTACCGTACATTTACTGTTGTTTGGCAAAGGCGAAATCCTGTTATTTCAGTATTTCAGGAATTTCACATGAAGGCAAAAGATTTTCCTAGGGAGATTTTAGAAAAGTTGGTCACGCTAATGTGCTGTGTAATCTATTATCTAAACCATGCTTCACAAATCGCTACACTGACAACGGCTCTTTTTTTCCTGCAACATTTAACCAAAAAGTTGGAAAAGCCATCCAGTTCTGACATCCAGTTTGCATTTGTACACGGTTTTGTTATACAGGTGGGCATAAGAAAGGTGTTTGCGGAAGTCTTGCCCTCCCATAAAGTGGCAAAAGTCCAGGAATTGCAGGAACGAGGTCTGAAAGTTGCAATGGTGGGCGATGGAGTCAATGATTCACCCGCTCTTGCCCATGCTGATCTGGGCATTGCCATAGGAACGGGTACAGATGTAGCCATTGAAGCAGCAGATATTGTCCTTATACGGGTGAGACAGTTTATTTATCAGGAAAAAAGGTGAGATTCTATAAAATAACAACAAAATTAAAAGTTCAGCCCTTCATTATGTGTTTTTGTTGATGTAGAATGATTTGCTGGATGTGGTGGCCAGTATCGAGTTGTCTAAAAAGACAGTGCAGAGAATCCGGATAAACTTTGTGTTTGCTCTCATTTACAACTTGCTTGGCATCCCTATTGCAGCAGGTAAACAGAACCAACCATAATTGTTACCAGTGTTTTCTGACATGAGCGAGTACTGTGTGCATTCTGTAATATATGGATGTGGTTTACTGGTTTGAGTCTGACTTTCAGGTGTGTTCATGCCGGTTGGGGTGGTACTGCAGCCATGGATGGGCTCTGTTGCGATGGCAGCTTCATCTGTCTCAGTTGTGCTCTCCTCTCTACTGCTGCGACTGTGAGTGCACATACACTACACTGTGATGAAGTCTTCACATTCTACCTGCACACATCACTGAACACTTTATAGCCCTGTTCCAAAGCCAAGAGTATTGCCCATTTAGGCATCATAGGAGTCCTGACACAATGGCCATAAGCTGCGCTGAATAATATGTTTTGTTAGGTAACCTAAAATGTGCGTAATGTGGTAACATCTGAATGTTTTTTTTAATTTAAATGTTTTTTTTAATATGACTTTAATATGATTTTTTTGCATCAGTTGTTAGCTTAACAGCATGCTTATTTTCCACCTTATTTTTAACACAAAAGTGAGCACAGATAATAATAAGTTTAATAAACTTATTAAAGACTTTTTCAACATTGTCCATCTGCAGCACACAATACAGTGGCTAAATGTACATTAATGCAGCACACAAACACTCAAGATGGATTACATGAGTTGTTAGCTTAGCAACATGCTAACACCAGACTTTTTTCCACCTTATTTTAATGTAAAAGTGAGTGTGTGTCACGATCCGCTACTGTGAGGAGCACGGAGCGAGGAACGAGGAGACATGGAGTAGACTTCTAACAAACATACTTCAATAAACATCCAATGGAACCAGGAAAACACACGTAGCGGGGAAAGACGAACATTCAATACCAGACAAAGAAACTTGGAAAGACACAGGGCATAATTAATGGGACTAATTACGAGAATAACGCGAAACACCTGGAACTAATGAGGGAACACCTAAAATCAAGGAACACAATGAGACATGGGAAAAACACACAGAATAAGTCCAGGGGCGTGACATATCGCCCACCTCCCGGAAGGTGGGGCATGGGTGGGAACTTGGGAGGAGGCTCGGGAGGGGGTCGGCAGACAGAGTCCAGGGAGGTGACGATGGAGGGAGGAGACAGGGAGAGCCACAGCTCCCGAGTCAGGCCCACGGAGGGCCTCAGGGGTCAATATTTTCCCCAAATATTTTTTAAATAAGGAGGGGGGTTATAGGGATCCGTCCGTAAGCCGAGTGCCGAAGTCAGGCCCCCTGAGTTCCCTGCTCTGCCATGGCTTCCTGAACGGTCTGCTCTGCCATGGCCCCCTGAGCTGCCTGCTCGGCCATGGCCTCCTGAACTGTCTGCTCCGCCATGTCCCCCTGAGTTCCCTGCTCCACCATGGCTTCTTAGTCTGCCTGCTCCGCCATGGCTTCCAAGTCTGCCTGCTCCGCCATGTCCCCCCGAGTTCCCTGCTCCGCCATGGCTTCCTAGTCTGCTTGCTCCGCCATGGCTTCCTAGTCAGCCTGCTCTGCCATGGCACCCTGAACTGCCTGATCCACCATGGGTCCCCAATGGGTACCGCTGATCCCCATTGGATGTTGTGTGGCACGTGGACGCGCCTTCCGGGAGGGGGGAGTAATGTCAGTCCTGTGTCTCGTGTTTTCCTCCCCCACGTGCTCCATGACCCAGTTTTCCCTCATTTTCAATGATGATAATTTGTTCCAGGTGTTTCCAGTTAATTTCCATGATTAGTCCCATTACTTTAGCCCTGTGTCTAGCGTCTGGTATTGTTTGCCTATCCCCTCTGCGACATGTGTTTTCCTTTGGTTTGGATTAATAATGACTGTTATTTGAATTCTCCTTCATCTCCTCGCTCCATCACAGTAGCAGCAGCAGCGTGACAGTGTGTCAGCCACTTAGTTGTTTTAGCTGTACAAGATCAGTCTGTTATGCTGGTTGATTTTGCAAACTGGTATTCATTATCATATTTTAATTTAGTATTGTAGTCATGAATGCACTGGGTTGTAGTGGAAACAGTTTTAGCATTTACTTCACTTAATTCTTCTAAATTTAAGTAAAAGTGATGAATGAATCCGAAGTTTCGCACATTTACAAGAAATAGGTTACTTCTGCATTGAAAAAATAAGTGGACTGGAAACAACTGTGCACTTCACATGATGAACACTAATTCAAATACTGTAAATTATGACACAAGGATACTGTCTTGGAGGATAGTTGCCCATGTTCCACTCAGTGGGTTTTGAAAGGCAGAGAGACACTCTGTAAATATCTTTCCATCTCTCTCTTAGCTACAAGAAGACGTCAGCAGAAGAGTATGAGTCCAGAGCTCAGAATCATAGGCTCAGTCTGAGTCCGTCTCAGGTCAGCACCCATGTAGGACTGGAAAACCATCACTGTAGCCCTCTCTCATTCCGCCGGAGCTTGGACAGACACAGGCGGAGCCATTCAAGATCAGGCTCCTCCTCCTCCCTGAAATCAAACTCCTCCCACCCCTCCACAACACAACCATACAGCACCACAGGGAGGAACATTGTGTAAGCAACTAGCCATGAGCAGCCTTGATGGCAGTTGACTGGAAATATTTGATCATGGAACGACGACTGGGGAATACAGTTTTATAAGTGTTCAATTTTTATATAATTTTACAATGATAGATTTTATGAAGAATTTTGCATGATAGTGAAAGATTTTCTGACGCAGATTCAAGAAAGAGGTTCATGTTAATTTTTGCTAACACCAATTTTACCTTTTAAAAGTTGTCTGCTGCATTTTAATTAGTGTTTAGCAACATCGACATTCTTTGTTTATTGCATCGGAGGATGGCAATGTACATGATAATCATGCATGTAAAACCAGTTTAATTTGGTACTAAAAGTATCATGACAATGTACTAATTGCTTGTTTTCTAACCTTAAAACCTTACCTTTTTTCTAATGGTAGAATCTAGAAGAATCAGTGTCCAATAATGAATGTAGTAAGCCCTTAATTATTGATAGATAATAGAATAGTATTACTGGATCAGGTTATTTGGCATTGGTCTCTTGTGGTGTGGAGAATGAATGGATCTCTTTGTACAGTACAAGGTTGATTAAGCATTTCTTGGCCAACAGGTGGCAGTAATGTTAGAGATGGAAAGGATATGGCTGGATTGTATGGAATGCCACTGGTTAAACAGTTTGATTAGTAGGGTTTGTAGAAAATAATTGATTTGACTTTGATCCAACAGTAGATTCACAATGGATTCATACAATTATCTGACAGTTTGCTTCCAGATTACATTTAAGGATAAAAGACGTGTCAGAATAAATGTAGAGGCACCTTTACAGTGACACTTTTATTTTAGAAAAAGTGGATATGCTTATTAAATATACAGTTAGCGGTGTAAAACGAGCCTGTCCATGAGTTTTCAGATACAAAATAAAGTGCATGGTCCCAGCATGGCCTTGTCATGTGCTGTATGTAATCTGTGTTACATAATTACAATATAGGACAGAAGTAATCCCATCCTGTTTCATTCATCCATCAGCAGTACAATCAAATGGCTAAATATACAGTAATGCAGCACACAATCACTCAAGATGGTCACCAAAAATACAAAGTACCTACTATTTGTAAAAGTGAAAAGTTAATATTTTTGTCGCAGTGGTATTATGGGGTTACAGTATGCTTGTGCGATTGGTTTAAGCATGTTTCTCAAATTTAGCCAGATCGCTTAGAGTATTTTGCATAGCTCCTTATGTTAAAGAGGTCATTGTGAGCAATTAAATATTCTTTTTATATATATATATATATATATATATATATATATATATATATATATATATATATATATATAATATGT